ATACTTCCTCTGGTTACCACCACCAGCTGACACTTCCTCTGGTCACCACCACCACCAGTTGACACTTCCTGTGGTCACTACCACCAGCTGACACTTCCTCTGGTCACCACCACCACCGGCTGACACTTCCTCTGGTCACCACCACCACCACCATCTGACACTTCCTCTGGTCACCACCACCACCGGCTGACACTTCCTCTGGTCACCACCACCACCGGCTGACACTTCCTCTGGTCACCACCACCACCGGCTGACACTTCCTCTGGTCACCACCACCACCAGCTGACACTTCCTCTGGTCACCACCACCACCAGCTGACACTTCCTGTGGTCACTACCACCAGCTGACACTTCCTCTGGTCACCACCACCACCGGCTGACACTTCCTCTGGTCACCACCACCACCAGCTGATACTTCCTCTGGTCACCACCACCACCTGCTGACACTTCCTCTGGTCACCACCACCACCAGCTGACACTTCCTCTGGTCACCACCACCACCACCGGCTGACACTTCCTCTGGTCACCACCACCACGTCTGTTTGTTCATCCTCTCCCCCGGTTCACATGCACGTTCTCTCGCCAACTCACAATAACGTCAGACTAAGAATTGTTATTTTAGATTACATGTGGGATATAAGTTTGGGTGTGTAGCGCTGCCAGGCAGCAGGCAAGGCGCTCTACCAACAACTGGTCGAGCTTAGTCAATGGTCGAGTGAGTCGCATGTGTACCTGGAAACACTGGCGACTGAGTCGCATGTGTACCTGGAAACACTGGTGACTGAGTCGCATGTGTACCTGGAAACACTGGCGACTGAGTCGCATGTGTACCTGGAAACACTGGTGACTGAGTCGCATGTGTACCTGGAAACACTGGTGACTGAGTCGCATGTATACCTGGAAACACTGGCGACTGAGTCGCATGTGTACCTGGAAACACTGGCGACTGAGTCGCATGTGTACCTGGAAACACTGGTGACTGAGTCGCATGTGTACCTGGAAACACTGGCGACTGAGTCGCATGTGTACCTGGAAACACTGGTGACTGAGTCGCATGTGTACCTGGAAACACTGGTGACTGAGTCGCATGTGTACCTGGAAACACTGGCGACTGAGTCGCATGTGTACCTGGAAACACTGGCGACTGAGTCGCATGTGTACCTGGAAACACTGGCGACTGAGTCGCATGTGTACCTGGAAACACTGGCGACTGAGTTGCATGTGTACCTGGAAACACTGGCGACTGAGTCGCATGTGTACCTGGAAACACTGGCGACTGAGTCGCATGTGTACCTGGAAACACTGGCGACTGAGTCGCATGTGTACCTGGAAACACTGGCGACTGAGTCGCATGTGTACCTGGAAACACTGGCGACTGAGTCGCATGTGTACCTGGAAACACTGGTGACTGAGTCGCATGTGTACCTGGAAACACTGGCGACTGAGTCGCATGTGTACCTGGAAACACTGGTGACTGAGTCGCATGTGTACCTGGAAACACTGGTGACTGAGTCGCATGTGTACCTGGAAACACTGGCGACTGAGTCGCATGTGTACCTGGAAACACTGGCGACTGAGTCGCATGTGTACCTGGAAACACTGGCGACTGAGTCGCATGTGTACCTGGAAACACTGGCGACTGAGTCGCATGTGTACCTGGAAACACTGGTGACTGAGTCGCATGTGTACCTGGAAACACTGGTGACTGAGTCGCATGTGTACCTGGAAACACTGGCGACTGAGTCGCATGTGTACCTGGAAACACTGGCGACTGAGTCGCATGTGTACCTGGAAACACTGGCGACTGAGTCGCATGTGTACCTGGAAACACTGGCGACTGAGTCGCATGTGTACCTGGAAACACTGGCGACTGAGTCGCATGTGTACCTGGAAACACTGGCGACTGAGTCGCATGTGTACCTGGAAACACTGGCGACTGAGTCGCATGTGTACCTGGAAACACTGGCGACTGAGTCGCATGTGTACCTGGAAACACTGGCGACTGAGTCGCATGTGTACCTGGAAACACTGGCGACTGGATCCACTTCCATTCCCACAAGTAATCTAAAATTTATTTAGTTAGTCTGGCAGCCTCGATAAGAAAAGAATTTCAGCTGACGCTCCTTCATTTTTTCTGTGATGATTTGAGTTCTTATAATATTACCAAAGTTTTGTGTGTGTGTACATAAACATTTATTTTATTATTATTTATTAAAGATTCGCCGGTATTCTCCCGGCCCGGGCCTTTTCCAAGTGGTGGCCCGGCCTTGGCTCCCTCTTTAGGGAGTGTCTGAGACCTAAGTCTCCCATGGGAGGAGGCACAAGTACCTCCTCATCTTTGGGACCAACTGTCCCCAGGCCTAGCCACAAGCTAGGCCCCTCTGGTCTGCCATCCCCGCCACAAGGGGGCAAATGGGAATGACAGTCTTATGAGCTAAATGCTCGGGCTCAGGCACCTACCCTACCCTAGAAGGGTTAGGCATGGTGTCGATGTACATAAACATATTTATACATGTGCCGTATATGTAAAACTTGCCGAATAAGACAAGCGAAAATTTGTGTATGCAATAATTTTGCAAAAAATCATTCTGAACCTAACGAGAAAAATATATTTTATTATGTTTATTTATTATTAAATTATTGTAAGCTTATCTAATATATATATATATATATATATATATATATATATATATATATATATATATATATATATATATATATATATATATATATATTTATATATATATATATATATATATATATATATATATATATATATATATATATATATATATATATATATATATATATATATATATATATATATATATAGGGACCCTCATCTTCAGAGAAAAGAATAAAATTGCTTCAGGGAAAACTCAAGGATTTCCCTGAAGCTGTTTGAGAATTTTCTCCTACCACCCCTATATTATATACATATATATATATATATATATACATTATATATATATATATATATATATATATATATATATATATATATATATATATATATATATATATATATATATATATATATATATATATATATATATTTATATAATAAGCTTCAAGCAAAAATCGGCAGATTTCTCTTAGAAGCCGCTTGAATATTTTTCGTCTCCTTCCATCCCATATATTTTTAGGTTAAAATTTATTTATTTAAGTAGCACAATTACCAGTGTCGTAAGCATACTAAGAGAAAATACAATAAGTGCTCGGGGCCCAAGACTATTCAACAATATCCTGCCATGCATAGGGAAAATTACCAATAGACCCCTGGCTACTTTCAAGAGCGTCCTGGTCAGATACCTAAAGTCAGCACTCGACCATCTAGGCTGTGGTTCGTACGTTGGACTACATGCGGCCAGCATGTAGTCCAACGGGAGCCGAGAATGTGACAGATTTTTTTTCCTGCTGGATGGCCATACTGAGACACTGGAACTGGAAGGTGGCAACCTCTGCATCTCTGATGTGTCTGAAACCCTGTTTTTTGAGGAAGCCAGTGCATATTTTCCCAATACTCCAAAGGTCTCCAATTCTGCTGGAAAATTTTATTACTGACGGCCCATGTCCCCATATGTGTTGAGTTTGAATTCTTCTTTGTGATCAGCAGCACCTCGCTTTTCCTAACACTTTTATTGATATAGGTGTCATCCGGAAAGGATACACAGTCGTATGCTAGTAGTATATCGGGGATAGATTAGGATCCTTTCATGTGGATAGAGGGATTACTGGGACTACTGGATGCTAGGAATCAATATTTCCTCACAGTTGGGCTCCCAGCTCTAACGAGATTCGTCTTGATAATGTTCACTTTGTTATGTATTGTATGCCAACCCTTGGGGGTTAGACAGTTTAGACCTTGTGGACAATATTGGGTTGCTTGTGCCTTGACACAAATGCACTCAGATTCAGTGTGACCTGCAGCAGAAAGGTGAGGAGCCACCGCATTATTGAAGGACCGTGGATCGAAACGTGTTCCCATGTGCACTCACAGTTTTGAGACAAGCAATAAGACTTCTTGATGGACGTTGCGGCAGCAAACATGCTTTTACACACTTTTTCTGCAATGGGGCTATCCCAGTCGGACTTTTTGTAGTAGGTAAAACGCATTCTGTGCATCAGTGTCTTCAGTCCCACTTTTCGTCTTCAAGACGTTGGAGACTCTTTTTCTAGACTCAGGCAGATGGTGTTGGAATCGCTCGTGCTTTTGGTAAGGCAGCCGTGATTTAGTCAATGATCTGTCGATTGGAGGAAACTACTTTCCATATGGTGAGCTTCAGTTTTCCTGATGCTCTCTTAAAGGGATTCTGCAGTGCCAACTAGAGTGCCATCATCCGAAAATCAGATTTTGAGTTCTCTCGACGTCCCCTCTGTGACTTCATTAAGAACTAGGCAGAAAACGAGAGGGGGCGAGGAAACCCGTTATTGCACACCTTCATATGAGTCGATTTCATGTTAAACAAGGAGGAGTTTTGAGGTATCACTGCAACACAATTGGATGAATGGATAAAAGGAAGGAAAATACTGATGAACAGGACAGAATACGGTATCCATTTTAAGTTTAAAGCATTATCAAAGTCCATTTTAAACAGGGCAATAAGATCTGTTATGCTAGTAATTTTTGCCAGTGCTGACTGGGCAGCTGCCTCATAGCTTTACTGAGTTCTAAATCACACCTCAGTATAATGCAAAATTTGTAAATTACCCAGAAATCGCTCATTTTGAAAATATACTTTTAAAATTTATTATTTTAACCTCTACTTTCTGATCCTCTTATTTACTGAAAATTACACTGAATCTAAATTTACAGTGGAAAGTGTATATATGACACATGCGTCACAATACCTGATCAACTTGTTGAAAGTGATTGCATAAAACCCTTTGGTACAAGGGCTACGGCAGTTCCGCAATTTCATGCTCTGAATCTAGTCTAAAGCCGAGGAGCAACGGCAATGATCTCTGGATGCATCTACAGGTTGTTCAGTGGATAAATACCTTTGACACAGCGACAGCCACACGTGAGGACCCTGATGTAACCATCGATGCTGGAGGGCCCCTTGAGCTGGTCTTCAAGAAGGTAGGTGTTGTGGCTGGTTGAGATGAAGTAGTGACCTAGAGGCTGGGTCATGTCTTGACACACTTGCCGCTGACTTGGGTCAAACAGGTCACATTCATCACTCATTAAATACCGCGTGAAACCTGCAGGGAAGGCGGAGACAGTGAGATATATCATTAAAGTGTACTAGACACTTGTCAACGTATATACAATAGACACTTGTACACAGAAAAGCAAAGTATAAAGAGTCTGTGTATTCCCATCTCCTGAGATCTTCAGTTGTACAGAAAAGTAAAGAATCTAAGATTATACAGCTGGCAGATATAAATGTCACATGTGTGACGAGTGGGAGGAGTTACTAAACTTAAACAATGGTTTGGAATATGAGTGGAATATCCTAATTTACATACATTCCCTGAGTGCATGTAATTAACAGACACCAGTCATCCATGGGTGAACCAGTTATCCATGTATGAACCAGTTATCCATGGGTGAACCAGTTATCCATGGGTGAACCAGTTATCCATGGGTGAACCAGTCATAGAAATCTGAAGTCTGTAGCCTAGAGTTAGTCCATTTCAAACCCCTCCCTATATACATAAGAAGCACTGAGAAGTGTGAAAGTAATTTCCCCCCCCCCCGTGGCTTGTCTTGCACACAGACACACACACAGACACACACACACACACACACACACACACACACACATATATATATATATATTATATATATATATATATATATATATATATATATATATATATATATATATATATATATATATATATATATATATATGTCGTGCCGAATCTGTAAAACTGGTCAATTAGCAAGAACTCATTTAAAATTAAGTCCATTCTAAAATTTTCTCTTATACGTTTAAAGATATATATTTTTCATTAATGTTGATGTAAAAATTTATAATTTTGCACCAAAAGGAACTTAGAAAACTTACCTAACCTTATTATAACAAGAACAATTTATTTTAGCCTAACCCAACTAAATATATTTTAGTTTTGTTTACAGTAATTTAATACTAAACAAACACAGTGAAATATATTTTTTTCGTAAAGTTCAGAATGATTTTAGCGAAATTATTGCATACACAAATTTTCACTTGTCCTATATGGCAAGATGAGCGTTGCTATTTAAGCCAATATCGCAAGTTCTGCCTATTCGGCACGACATATATATATATATAATATATATTATATATATATATATATATATATATATATATATATATATATATATATATATATATATATATATATATATATATATATATATATATATATATATATATATATATATATATATATATATATGTTTATATATACATAACAATACTTTACACTATCTAAAAATTGGAAAACTGGACGGCAAAAGCTTTTCCAAATGGCTAAGGACTCCTCGGACTGGTATTAATTCTGTGCTATTCATATGACGAACGCAATATTTTTGAATCCCTTCTCATGTGTGTTGATGAGCAACAACCTCAGAATGTAGCTCCTGAGTTACTTAAACATCACTTATTTGAAGAACTATGATGAATTTTGACTCGTTTTGAATGTATCACATTTTCTTGTTAGAATATTATTTATAAGGTACATTTTTTATGACTGCTTAATCCTGCCAAAGCGTTTGATAACAATGGTCCTTCACTTGTAGTATTCATATAAAGTACATTTAAACATTGATAGATAACTGGGTTTTGTCGACTCATTTGCTCGCTGGCAATGGCAGGTTGTGTGAAGACGCCTCTATCATGCTGCAGAGAGGAGTGGTTTCTTGCATTTACTTTGTCTAATGGAGAAGAATAAAAGCCACTATTCACAATTAACCCACACTCTGAAGAATAAGCTTTAGACGAAGTTTCGGTCTAGATCCAACACTGATACGTCATCTGCAGCTTCCACTCCAAAGTGCTGACTGGATGCGATTGATGTACTGCTGAGAACATTACAAAATATGCCCGTGGCAGAAGACGCCTTTACTGGTCATCGTATCGCTCTGTTAAACATCTTAACAGAGCAAAATATTTGTAAAAAAAATCAGCAAGATTTATCGTACTTGTCAGTTTCTAACCGGCAAGATTCTCTTAAGGCCTGATATACAATAACATTTCCGTTGAGTATCTTAGACTTTAGAATTTACCTTAAACCAGCCAGTCCTTTCACATGGTCATATATAAAAAATTAAAACTCCTCAGGTATTGTTTTACGATGGCTTAGCTCTAGGGAACGAATGGATTTGTCAGTTAATAACAGAGGAGGGGAGTTAGTACATGGTGAGACGGAGGTATTGGGTAGATGGTGGGAATATTTTGAGGAACTTTTAAATATCGATGAAGAAAGGGAGGCGGTAATTTCATGCACTGGTCAGGGAGGTATACCATCTTTTAGGAATGAAGAAGAACAGGATGTGAGTGTGGGGGAGATGAGTGAGGCATTACGTAGAATGAAACGGGGTAAAGCAGCTGGAACTGACGGGATCATGACAGAAATGTTAGAAGCAGGGGGGGCATATAGTGTTGGAGTGGTTGGTGTTTCTGTTTAATAAATGTATGAAAAAGGGGAAGGCACCTAGGGATTGGCAGAGAGCATGTATAGTTCCTTTACATAAAGGTAAGGGGGACAAAAGAGATTGTAAAAATTATAGGGGAATAAGTTTACTGAGTATACCAGCTAAAGTGTACGGTAGGGCTGTTATTGAAAGAATTAGAGGTAAGACAGGGAGTATGATTGCAGATGAGTAAGGAGGCTTTAGAGTGGGTAGGGGATGTGTAGATCAAGTGTTTACATTGAAGCATATATGTAAGCAGTATTTTGATAAAAGTATGGAAGTTTTCGTTGCATCTATGGATTTAGAAAGGCATATGATAGAGTGTATAGGGGAGCAATGTGGCAGTTGTAGCAAGTGTATGGAATAGGTAGTAAGTTAAGAAATGCTGTAAAGAGTTTTTATGAGGATAGTGAGGCTCAGGTTAGGGTGTGTAGAAGAGAGGGAGATTACTCCCCGGTAAAAGTAGGTCTTAGACAGGGATGTGTAATGTCACCATGGTTGTTTAATATATTTATAGATGGGGTTGTGAAAGAAGTAAATTCTAGGGTGTTCGAGAGAGGGGTGGGATTAAATTATGGAGAATCAAGTACAATATGGGAGTTGACACAATTACTTTTCGCTGATGATACTGTGCTTATGGGAGATTCTAAAGAAAAGTTGCAAAGGTTAGCACGAGTTTGGGAGTGTGTGTAAAGGTAGAAAGTTGAAAGTGAACATAGATAAGAGTAAGGTGATGAGGGTATCAAATGATTTAGATAAAGAAAAATTGGATATCACATTGTAGAGAGGGAATACGGAAGAAGTGAATGTTTTCAGATATTGAGGAGTTGACTTGTCAGCGGATGGGTTTATGAAGGATGAGGTTAATCATAGAACTGATGATTAAAAAAGGTGAGTGGTGCGTTGAGGTATTTGTAGAGACAAAAGACGTTATCCATGGAGGCAAAGAAGGGAATGTATAAAAGTATAGTGGTACCAACACTCTTATATGGGTGTGAAGCTTGGGTTGTTAATGTTGCAGTGAGGAGGCGGCTGGAGGCAGCAGAGATGGCCTGTCTATGGGCAATGTGTGGTGGAAATATTATGCAGAGCATTCGGAGTATGGAAATTAGGAGGTGTGGAGTTAATAAAAGTATTAGTCAGAGGGTTGAAGAGGGGTTGTTGAGGTGGCTCGGTCATTTAGAGAGAATGGATCAAAGTAGAATGACTTGGAGAGCGTATAAATTTGTAGGGGGAGGAAGTCGGGGTAGGGGTCGTCCTCGAAAAGGTTGGAGGGAGGGGGTAAAGGAAGTTTTGTGGGCGAGGGGCTTGGGCTTCCAGCAAGCGTGCGTGAGCGTGTTAGATAGGAGTGAATGGAGACGAATGGTTTTCGGGATCTTATGAGCTGTTGGAGTGTGAGCAGGGTAATATTTAGTGAAGGGATTCAGGGAAACCAACCGGTTATTTGTACATTGCTGGACTTGAGTCCTGGAAATGGGAAGTACAATGTCTGCACTTTAAAAGAGGGGTTTGGGATATTGGCAGTTAGGAAGGATACGTTATATATCTTCATATATGCTTCTAAACTGTCGTCTCTGAGCACCTCTGCAAAGACATTGATCATGCATGAGTGAGGTGAAAGTGTTAAATGATGATGAAAGTATTTTCATAATGGGGATTTTTTTTTTTTGGGTCACCCTGCCTCGGTGGGAGACGGCCGACTTGTTGATATATATATATATATATATAATATATATATATATATATATATATATATATATATATATATATATATATATATATATATATATATATATATATATATATATATATATATATATATCGTGCCGAATAGGCAGAACTTGCCATCTTGGCTTAAATAGCAACGCTCATCTTGCCATATAGGACAAGTGAAAATTTGTGTATGCAGTAATTTCGCCAAAATCATTTTAAACCTAACGAAAAAAATATATTGCACTGTGTTTGTTTAGTATTAAATTACTATAAACAAATCTAAAATATATTTAGTTGGGTTAGGCTAAAATAAATTGTTCTTGTTATAATAAGGTTAGGTAAGTTTTCTAAGATTCTTCTGGTGCAAAGTTAAAATTTTTTACATTAACATTAATGAAAAAAATATATCTTTGAACGTACAAGAGAAAATTTCAGAAAGGACTTCATTTTAAATGAGTTCTTGCTAAGTGACCAGTTTTACATATTCGGCACGACATATATATATACATATATATATATATATATATATATATATATATATATATATATATATATATATATATATATATATAATATATATATATATATATTATATATATAAGATTTAAGAGATACATTGTTAATATAAAGGTGGCATATACCGTACATGTTGTTACGTGTGTATCACCGATTATAAGGCGAAAATCTCATCCAGCTCCTCAGAGCTGGGGCGTGTGCCCAAAATACAGCAGGCATTATCCCTTTGAACAGCCGCACTGAGCCGCTGGAACAGAAAACTAGCTGCCCTGGGATCCCTAGTTACCCTGATGAGTCTTTTTCCCAGCTCCTTAAGGAATTTAGATGCATTATTTCCCCATGAGCCAAG